ACGAGACTGGGGAGGGAAGATGGAGGGGAGCGAGACGGGAGCTGGCGAGGGAAAATGGAGGGCAGCGAGACGGGAGCCCGCAAGCATCGCAAGCATCATTGCAGGCTGCTCTGGGGCAGTGCAAAAGTAGAACGAAGCATGGGTGGGGGTAGTGCTGCTCCATGCTTCGCGGAAGCCCGTTGGGAGGTGAGTGGAGCGCGATGCTTGAAATATCATAGTTGCCACGAAGCCTGGAGGGGGCTGATGCTTCGTTTTGGTCTGCTAATTTGCGTCTATTTTTCCTGGGCTGCGCGCTTCTTTTTGCTTTTGGGTCCGCGGACTCACCTTGTTTTTTCAGCTTTGGAAGGAGCTGCATGGAGGCAGCGCGAGGACGGAGATTTCCCGACTAGCGAAAGAAGAAGGTCGCTATGGTGCCTGAGACTTTGGGAGCACAAGCCCAGTATATGGCCTTTAAGGTTCAGGTCATGTCGTCCCTTCCTATCGGTTCAGCGCTTATGGTCCCTGTTGGCAAGATCCTCCATTGACGCTCTGCAAAAGATTGAGGCTATCAAGCAGGTGATCTCATGCTACCTCGGCGTCGCTCCGGGGGCCATGAAAGGGGCTCGGGCGGCAATAGCTGCCAATTTGCTTGGCCCACCATGGGCTGCGCGCCGGCCCGTCAACGCACGTACTGGATGGGCGTTCCGGGCCAACCCGGGCAATTCCAAGTGGATGACCCATGCGCACCACCGGGCGAGATCCGCTCAACGTTGAGGATGCTCTTGCAAGAAAGAGAAAGTTGGACACCTTGACCACAAGAGTCGTCAGAGCAAGGGCTCGCAACGACGGAGCTGCCAGCCTGCTCTTGACAACTTTTCAAGTCGTTGACCCAACCGTGGGACAGCCAGTGAAGGTGGAGCCGGAGGAGCCAGACACCAGTTCAGCCCACACCAGTGAGGATTTCTGGCTAAGAATGACTCATGGAAGCAGCTGAGCCCAGACCAACGATATGCCAACTGGTGTCTTCCGGAACTTCTTCGCAAAATTCTTTGAGGACTTTGCGCGCGAGTTGGCAGCAAGTTATGGCACACAACGGGATGGAGCAGGCACAGTTGGACACCTCCTCTACTCCCCACCAAGTTTTGGTTGCCGCTGCTGCGCCGCTGCTACCTTGTCTCCCCACTGTCTCCTTACACGTCTCCCCACTTGTGTGCCTGTGCGACGGCCGTTTTGGCTTGCCATTGCTGCGCCGTCTTGTGTTCCCACTTGTCGCCTTACGTGTTTG